TTCAGCTGACTTTAAAGTTCTAGATGCGTATGCAATGGGAAGATCAGCTTCGACAGGACCTCGAGATAAAACAGCTCCAATTGCATAATTCGAGGCATCGGTTATCAATAAGAAAGGTTTCTTAAAGCCAGGATGTTGTAATATATGGGGTGATTTATTAATACATTCTTACAAGTTTCAAAGCTATTGAAAAAATCTGCATTGTGTGTTATTTTTTTATCTTTTTTCAAACAAGATGTCATCGGTTTTGTTAATTTGGCAAAATTCTTCATGAATTTTTGATAATAACCTACTGATCCTAAAAATGATTTTATTTCTTTCACTATTCTCGATATTGGGAATTTTTTAATTGCCGTTTTTTTTTTTTTTTGATTTGGTTCTATTCCATTTGACGACGACGTAATTACGTGTCCTAGGAATTCGGATTTGTCTAATTGTATTTTTAAATTAAACTTCTCAAGTCTCTCAAATACTTTCTTAAATTTTTCACATGTTCATGAAGTGAAGTGGGAAAAATTATTATTATAACATCCATGTATACTAGACATATTCTATACTGTAATCCCAGTAATACATTATCCATCACCCTTTGGAAGGTTGCTGGTGCGTTCTTTTATCCAAAGGACATTTTGTTAAATTCGTAATGACTATTTTAAACATTAAAAGCTGCCTTGGGTAACGAATTTTCATGCATCTCGACTTGATGAAAGCCAGAGGCTAAATCAAGTGTCGTAAAATAATTACTACGACCAAGTCGGTCTAATATATCAGTAATATTAGGTAATGATTTTTTTTCATCAATAGTTTATTCGTTTACCTTTCGATAATCAACGATCATTCTCCATTTTTGCATGCCTGCGGCATCTTCTTTCTTGGATACTATCTACACAAAGGATGACCAGGGACTACAGGATGGTCTGATTATGTTATTTTCTAACATTTTCTTAATTTGAGAATTTACTCCTTGTTTATGCATATGCGGATATCTATACGTTTTCGTGTGCACTGGTATTTCATATGTTGTTTCAATATCATGTTTGACTTGATTGGTGAATGTTAATTTTTCATTATGCTTGTGGAAAATTTTAGGAAAATATTTAATTACATGTTTTAAACATCGATTTCCTCTGAGTTTAAATGAATAATGCGTAGTGACTTTATCGGGTCATTTGCATATTCATCATTTTCTAATTAAGGCATTTGTTATTATTAAATATCTCAAACTGTCCATCAGCATAAGGTAAACTTATTTTCGCCAAGTTATTTATATTATATAAGACAATAATAGGCTTATTCATTAAGTTGTGTACTTTTAAAGGCACCATCTCATTCGTGACTGTTGTTATTGTCGACGGAATATAATATGTTCCATTTTTTATTGGTGGTGTAAGAATTTCAACTCCATCAGCTATATTTGTATTGAAATAACATACTTGAATTACTTGGAATTTCAAAATTTTGGTTTTCGAAATCTGTTCTATATTGAAATGGAATTGTTGTTTTATTATTAGAAAAAAGCATATTGGAAAAATCTATATTTATATTATTTTCTTGCAATGCTTTGATTCCAATAATTCCATCAAAATAGTCATGGAAATTATACATTATCATTTCAATGTTGTTTTGATTATACAACTCACTGTACATTATTCCCATATGACATGAGAGGCTTAATAAGTGATAAGCCTTTTGGGATTTTCGCGCTTGGTGGCATTTATGGCAAATTCTATTATAGAATTTTTTTCAAATCTTAAAGTATTAAAGTTTAGTTCGTTGTATAACCTTTTGAATACCATTCGATGTTTCAGGATTACCTAATACTTTTACCTGACACTCAACGCGTTACCAGCAACACCACTCCTCCTTCGGAGTCGTGGTGTTGCTGCGTTTCGTGACAGGTAAAAGTATTATCCGGTAATCCTGTAACCTCTTGTGGTATTACATTCGAACATTATATTCTTGTAAAATTGGAACATTGATTTTTCCTTGGGTTTGTCTTGTACCCATACAAATTTTAAACTCATTTCGTGAATTAATTATAGATTTTAAAAAATATTCTTCTGCGATTAAGGGTCTTATTAGAGAGGCATGACTTCCTGTGTCAATTAATAATTTACACGGTGGATAGTCTATTTGAATAAAAGGCAGTTAGGTGATTTTAAAAGCATTTAAAGTTAATGCTGACTCATTGCATTCAAGGCTAGTAACTGAAAATTTTCGTCTTCAGTTTCGACTTGATTTTCTTCAAATTTTGTCTCTTCATAATAATTTTGATTTTCAGAACATTTTTCAGTTTCGAGATTTTCATCAGGGTCAGGTAATTCTATTTCAGAGATATTATTAATCTCTTCGATTCTATATCTTGAAGGGTCTGCATTTGGGTCAGGTTTGAAATAGTTATTGGGTCTGTATTGATGTTGATTTTGTGCTTGTGGTTATATTGAAACTCCGGACATAGGTGTCGGTTTCGAAAATTGTTGATTTGTGTTTTTCCGAAGCGTATTATTATAATTTTTGCCAAAAGTTCCTGAACTAGTAGGAAATTTTGTACGTACCTACATAGTCCTTTTTAGGTGTTATTTTAATAGGTTGGGATGTATGGTACATATAGGGTGTTTTTTGCGTATATTGACGTTTTTGTTAAGTATAAGTTTGTTGTGAACGAAATTACGTGTTTTTATTTTTGAAATTTGATAAATTTTGATTTTGACTTTGATTAGCAGAATGATTAAGTCCTCTACTAAATTTCATGTGGTTTTCAGCTAGTTGGTAATTTAACAAATATTTATTAGCTGCATCCAATCGTTATTGGATTTTGCACCATTAAAATTGTTCTTAATTCGGTTGACGAATTAGTGACTAGATTTTGAATAGCAATAATTTCGTTTTGTTCAATCAAGACATTTGTAACTACCGTTAAAAAACCTTTTATTTTATCCAAATACTCAATTATAGTTTCTTTGTTAGTTTTGGTGGTATACATGAGCTCTTGTACCAAATTCTGTCTAGAATATTGATCACGCTCTTATATCGGTCAATGTTTGTAAATCAGGACGTGCCATAAGTAAATTTCCAGCGTCATTTAATAATTTTGATTTTTTGACGGTAACCACATATTCTTTCTGGGCATTTTCACCAGTGTAATAGGTTTAATAAAATTAATGGATGTTTCTCATGAATAAAAGTTTAAAGTTTTAAATTTTGGGGTGATGAGGCGAGGAAATTGGTTTCGGAAATTAGTTCCAAAATTCCAACTAATCAGTCACGTAGTTTCTTAACTCAGAGGATCAGCATAAACATTCAACGAGGTAATGAGGCTTCAGTGATGGGTACCATTCAGGAGGCCAAAGGATTGGACGAGATTTTTGACATATGATAATTCTCTCATTTATGTATATTTATTGTGATTGTTTTTGATATTTTATATTATTTCTTTAATTATTGTAGGTCTATTTTTGTTGGTATATTTTTTATTCATAGTTATATTAAGGTTTTACACTGTTTATTATTATTTGAGACATTTATTATTATTATTATTATTATTAACTTGTTATCAAATAATAATCTAATAAAAATTTGAAAATTTATTTTTTAATTTTATTTTAAAATTAAAATTAATTAATCAGTCTTCTGGGTTGCGTTTCCTTTAAAATTATTTGTTGTTGTGGGTTTTTAAATTCTTAGTTACTTTTTTATTTTTGATTTAAGTCTTTTCAGCAAACCGCTTTAGAATTGCAAAAGAACAAAAATCTGAATTTAAATCTTCTCAGTAAATCAAAAATTAGAAATTAAGTATACCAAAAAAATGTATAAAGAGAAAGGATATATATCCTATTCACAATCCGTAGTTCAAAGGTAAAGTTAAATTTTTCACCTTTCCCTATCAAATAGCACTGAAAGGTGATAAATTTCACCTTTGCCTTTGGACGTCAGACGCGCCAACGAAACCATACCTTTAAGATTCAAATAAAAATAGCCGAAAAGGTAGATATCATAAAACATAATCACCAGCAGTTTTATCAAAGGTAAAATAAAGGTAAAATTTGTAAATGTCATAATAGATAACATTTTTTCTTATTTTTAGGCGAATCTAATCTAAGGTAAATCGAAATAATGTTACCACCTTTATTTTAACTTGAAACTGCTGGTTATTGGGTTTTGTGGTATCGGGTGTTCAAATTTTTTATGTAATAGGCAAAAAATAAGAATTAAAATAACAGCAATAAAAGATATTGTTATATTTATTATATTAGAGAGAATATATTGCAAATTCCTGAAGTGGAGATTGACAAACTTTATATATTTGAAATGAGAAAAATGGGGGCGTTTGAAAAATAGATTTAAATATAGGTGATTCCATTTAAAAAAATGATTTCTTCCGCAAACATCAAAAAATGACGAATTTTTTAACCTCAAGTGGACGTGAGCGTACAAAAAAGTGTACTTTTCTGTACGCCCATGACAGGACAAAAAAGTGACGTCACTGAAATTTAACTTTGACAACGACAATACCAGTGAGAAGAGCAATTAAATTTTACGTTTTTATACATCTAATCTTTTTTGACAATATGTATTTATTTCCTTGATTCCATCATTTGAACACCGTTTGCGGAAAAATTCGCATATTTTATTCGGAGAAAAGCACTTTTTGTGACTCGTCTAAAATTGTCGGCCTCACTATCACTTTTACTCCTAATAAAACAATATACTATTTTACGTCACAGAGCTTTAACGAAAAATCTAATTAAATTTAGAAAAACGTTTTCAAATTTTTAGAAACAAAATACACCAAATGGCTATGTTGATTTTTTCAAAAATAAGTTTTTAAGCGGATAGGTAGGGGTTTTTAACTTTATACTGGATCACCCTGTGGTCGCCTTTAGTGGATATTTCTATATTTTGTTGACTATTGGCGGCAACTAGGAGGTGGTTCTTTCGAGATGTACCCGGTTTTCCGGCACCAAATGACTAACATAAAAAAGAAGAAAAGGAATTAACAAATGGCTGAAATGCTTGCCGTTTACAAGCTGATATTCGATGGACAGCACTTCCCGAAAAAAAAAATAAAATGTGAGGAAACTGTAGCAGAAATAATAGCAGAACTAACTGCCTTGAATGACACGCTTCTCCCCGGAGGTCACACCTGTGACACAGAGGCTGAGAAATCTAGTGAGGAAAGAAGGAAAAGCGGACAACGAAATAGCCAAATGTCACAATGCAAACCGCAGTAACTGATGTGATCATCGAAGCAAGGACTGGATTACTGTAACGAAGAGGATTAATTACCAAAGGGCGAACTATGACCACGCCAGAGGTTTGGGTAAAGACACTGAAGTCTACCCTAAAACGCCAGAGGATCTCTTGATTAATCCATAATGGTAGTATTGAGTGGTGCAATGATACCAAGGGAATAACGCGAGACATTGCATAAACAAGCAAATAATAATAATAATGAAGAGGAGCGACAATAGCTCTCTAGAAATACGCAACCGTTCAAACAGCAACCAAAGTATTTATTTTTTGTTGATAATCATCTAAGAAAAACAAAATAGTTTTTGTAATTAAAATTCCGTGGCTGGTTCATAAACCATAGTTTCATCATCAAACATTTGTATCTGAGACTTTGAAAGAAAAATGACCAAGTTTCAAATCTCGTTGTGCCGCAACCTTTAGTTTTTTATAATAAAATGACAATGATGGGTTATACAATTATGGAATGTAAGGGGGACAGTCAACTATCTTTCAAATTATAAAAAGTTATTTTCTCGGTATATATCAAATACTATAAGAACAAGAGATTGCATATTTCGATTTATTTATATTGAAATATCGGATTTCAAATAAAATTGCCGAGAGGTCCATATTAAAAAAAAAATATCCGCTATATTTACATAAAATAAAACGAAGGCTGGTTACATATTTAGTTTTTCTCCACATTTCAATATTAGAAAGAAGCCCAATCTATAGAAATACGCAAATATCCAATATTGCCTTCACTTCTGAAAAATATTTTCGGTTAAACGGGCATGGTATTTACATATCAATGTTTGGCTATATTCGGTACAACGCGTTTTCATATTCGCTCAAAAATGTAATTTTCTCCTATATCTTTTGTAATAACGCAGAAAAATATGTAAATTTCAATACTTTTCCACTTAAGATGCAAATGGAGTCTCTTCAATCCCTAAAAAACCGTATTTGTTAGAAGCAAGCCATTAGAGTTTCTTTGGAGTATCATTTTAGAGGTTCAAGTTATTAAATTACACATTTTCTTTTCAATAAGCTGACTTGAGTGAGTGCAGACAAGTAGTGAAAAATAAGTCGTTCGGTGACAAAGCAGTGATTATGGGTTCCGGATTTTGGAAATAAGATTCCCTTTCTTTGAAAAAATTATGTCGGCAACCATCATGTATTTGGTATTCTTTACCGGGTTAAAATAAAAATGAATCTCAAAATTATACCGACACATTTAAAATATTATTTAAAGTAGAAACTATTGTTCAAAACAGAAACAACCAAAGGTCGCTAAAACAAAATTTCGATAAAATAAAGAAGAAAATATGTACTATAAGTAAGAGATGTTTAAAAAACATAGTTGAAAAATGTCATAACAGAAAACATTGTAAAATTACATTAGACAATACATAAACACAGACAACAAACCTAAAAATAAAAAAAACTGATTGCGTGGAACACTAAAAAAGTATAATTAAAAAATTAAAATTAGGTAGGTATTACAATTTCAGAGAAACAGAGAATTATTCCCAAAGTCCTACACCCTTGGCCTTCACTTTGTTAATGAGAATAATTATAGGAGGTAATCCTATAATTATTCCCATTACAGTGTAACAAGGGAAGCTAAATATTTTAATAGTATGTCGCGTAGGAACAACAATTACCACTTTACAAACCCGCCATTAGCATTGTGTTATAATAATGAAAAATAACATAATGTCGGCCCTTTATCAGGCTTTCGTCCTATAATCAGGGCTTCGCGACACCTAAAGCACCTACCTACATAGCGCCTGCTGGGAGGATCAAAAGCTAATACCTTTATATCTGTACTTTGTGTCCTGAAAATCACAACAAATTTATACTTTGCCCACACAGGTGGTTACTATCTGGATTAATTTTCGGCGTTTATTAATATTGTTCCTGTTTTGCGATACGTGGAGTAAATTGCAAGGTAAAATGTAAAAATTGGTTATAATGCAATCGTGGAAATAAACCATGGAAAGCTCAGAAAAAAAGATTGGTATCGGTATCTGCTTAAATTATGTCACACGCACGCTAAAACTAGAAAAATTTGATATCTATATTATTGAACAGTAAATTAATGTTACTGCTAGACTGCTAAACGGACCAATGCGCTAACTATTGTTGAATTTAACTTTCCAGAATAAGTAATAACAAGATTTTGCCTTAGATAAATAACATGCCACAACTTCGACAGTTTTATGTGGAAATGCATATCTATTCAGAAAATTGAAATTTTCCATTTCATTTAAATAGCGGAAATCAACTACAGCATGCTCATACCCTTACGGTCTTTGATATAGATCATTATAGATCAATCAACCATCGCTTTTTTTTTTAAATATTAACAATAAATATTAAACAACATAAAAACTGAGCAGGTGACAATACGTGTCAGTCATTAGCGCAACTTCCTGGGGGCCAATTTTTGACAATATATGTTAAAATGCGTATTCGAAGATTTGCGAACAAAAATAAACGTGTATCTATAAACCCATTTTTGACCGGTGTGCGTAAATGGATAAACGTAGATATTGCGAATTCGTAAACATACGTATAATTGATTTGGCAACGTCGGAAATTTTAGAATGTTTGACAAATTTTTGACGTGTTTTTGCCTTTTTGAATATTTGACGAATTGTGGTTGTTTACGATAGTGGTAAATTATGTAAGAAAGCCAGTGACAAAAATTAAAAGAAAAGGGGTGCGAATGCCAGTGAAAAGCAAAAGAAACTTGTGAAGTATGTGAAAAGCAAGCTACAGCTAATCCGGTTGATAGCCACGGCTTGCGAAAAATTTCAACGCGTAATTAAGACCGCATTAAACTAACTGTATAACAAACATTGCAAAACAACCTTCTAAATAAAATTCATTTCCTAGTTTAGTCAAGATATCTAAATATGTTGGTCGTTGTGCCAGACATGTATGAGATTCTAAACATTCAACCAAATAACTAACAAGCTCTTTCGACAATCAGAACATATTAATAAGGTGTTTATTTGTAATTTGTACTGCTTTTTCTGCTTCAAGCAGATCTCAGCAGCAGATCAGCGTTCACCTGTCTCATATAAGCTCATAAATAGCAGCTCCTAGCAGATCTTCCTAATTTTTCGAGCAGGTAGAACAAGCAACACCCTTCAATAAACTGTCTTTGGGCCGGTTTCTCAATAGCAAGTCATCCCCGGGTTAAGCATAACTCCTGGGTAAACATTGCAACTGGACACGTTTAACCTGGAGTTAAAACCAACCTGGAGGTGACTCGCTATTGAGAAATAGGCCCTTTGGTTTAGCTCTACGAATGGATCACGGCGGTTATGTCGATGGTTGCGTCGATTTCGTATCTCTGCGTTTTCCAAATAATGAATTGCCAGCACATTCATCAAAATTTCCATATTATAGTCGATACACCTTGTAATCAAGAAGACAAGACGATAGAGCACATTCTCTGTGTGTGACTGCACTGCTCTTTCGCCAATACTCAGAGCCAGATTAGGCCAATCGTACCAATCATTAGAAGAGATCTGAGGCACCGCCTTCAGCGACGTCATCGCCTACGTAGAATCGCTAGGCTGGGTGACGAGCTAATGATGACCTCTCCTCTTGTGGAGTGTGGAGGCGCACAATGGGCATAATTGTGGCCTAAGTGCTGTAGCATACCTTATATACCACCCTCCCAGATAGGTAGTAGATACACAATAATTCAATAATAAAATAGCTATCAAACAAATTGACAAAAAAAAACAACCTAACATCCCCACTTGACACAAGAAAAACGAATACGCAAACCGAATTAGGCGACTAGAATACCGCTCGCAGAAAAGCGAATGAAAATATGCGCATACGAAACTTTGCGAACGGCCAAAAATCGGAACTTGTGACTGTTCGCAGATTTAGGAACAATCTACATACGTTTATATATTTGCGAACGGTCAAAAATTGACCCCCTGGTGCTACGGGCGTTCGTGAATCCTCAATTCCAGCTCGATCATCCTGACCAACTGCTAATATCTAATATGATAAGTAACACTGATAACATACATATATTCGGTACGGGTATTTGATTTTTACACTAATTCTCTCGCTCACCTTCTACACATTTCCGCAAAAAAAAACAAATAGAGTTACGTGCTCAGAATTGCTTAGGTTATTACCTATATGAATCTGCTGCATTTGCTTAATTACTTTATAAAAGGAACTAATTGTTATTTTCAAGCCAGTTTTTCATCTGTATAATCGTACGCATAAGGTCGGTCCGAAAAATAAAGTTTTTTTTTTTTAAGTTGTTTTTGTGGTTCTACAACGTAATTGCCGCAGTCGGTAGGATTGTCACGCGACAAATGAAGTCTATAATAATGTCATTATGACACGCCGGAATATAAACTAATTAATGAATTGATGCCGTACGCAATAATAGCATATAATAGTACTACAAGTTCTGAAACGGACAGTCAAACGTCGGGTATACCCCTGCAAGGCTAAATAACCAAACCAGCCCTACAGGAAAATCTAGAAAGCCTTTTCACTGTAGGTCAAAGCCTGGGTCGTCAGGGAGTATCTGCCCTGATAGAGATACGATAGCGTATTAACTTTATCAGTCCAGATAGTTCCCCAACTTTGAGTCGTCTCTCAACACCTACTGATTGCAGCGAAGCGCTGAGACACGACTGATTTGCCATAGTGTGGCCCGGGCTTTTATATCCAATATTTGCTGACTATGATTAGGATAATTTGTGTTTTCTTGCTTAGTTGCAGTTATTTGTTATAACCCGTGGTTCAGTGTTTTGAATTTGGTTATAGCCCGTGGTCCCATGTAGGGTTGACACATGCCCCTCCCGATGAAGGCATTGGCCCCACAATGCCCGAGGAGACGTATCTGGCTTCAAAAACTTTAAAAAAATACAAAAAAAAAATCAAACTTAAAACTACATTATTCATCTTCAGGCGTCTTCTTCTTTGTGATTGGTTCTTTGTGCGTGTCCATTCTTCCATGGCTTCGAACACTAGAACAGTGTCTGCGGTTTGCTTCTACTTCGTTGGTGATTCTCTGGGTTTTGGTGGTTCCAAGGCTTGTTTGCCTGGATCACTCTTGTAGATGTTCTGGTTTTGCTTTCATGTCAGTGGACTCCTTGTGTTCTGACAACGTCTTCTGCTGTGTTGCCTAGGCTTATTGGCTCAGACTTTGACTGAAGGTAGTGGATCTACGTTGTGGGTCTAGGCTAGCAATTGGCCTAGGTTGGTCTTGTAGATGTCGTGGTCTTGGTCCAAACAATTGTTCTTGTAGATGTTCTGACAACGTTTCATGCATGTCGTGGTATCTAGGTTGTTGGATCCCATGTCGTGGATCTAGGCTAGCGGTTGGCCTAGGTTGGTCTTGAAGATGTGGTCTTGGTTCAAACAATTGCTTTTGTAAATGTTCTGGCGTTGTCTCCCGCGTGTCGTGGTATCTGGGCTAGTGTATCCAATGTCGTGGATTCTTGGCCCGTGGTTTGCTTTTCGTAGTGGACCTTGTTTCTCGTAGGGGACCTTTGGTTGGAAGCTTGTTCCGTGGTTGTGGCGCTTTGAATAGTGCCCCTAGCTTTTTTGAGTTTTCTCCTTTGAAGTTCCCGCTGCCACTGGAAGGTTATGGTTGAGACGCCTCTGCCTTGTTTTACTATACAAACGTGATTAGCAAAGTTTACAAAATTTTCGAGTTTTATTTACATCCTATAGTACGGAAATCTCTTACCTTTTTATCATTTATATATGATACTAATTATCCTTACTCACTAAGTACCTATCCCTTGTTATACCTGTTATATACCTATATTTTTTGTAACCTAATACCTGACCTAATAATATGTATCCTTATTTATATTATAACTTTATCCCTAATTTCCATTAAGTTGCTGGCCAGCAATATTTTACCTAATATTATTTCATATTTTTATGTCCTATTATATCAACTTACAAAAAAATTTTTTAAAAAATAATACAAATTTATTCATTACGTTCCTGTAATAATTCATTGGCTTATTTTAGGCTCAAGCCTTGATTTTGCAGTAGTACTTCCGTCAGCAACCATTGTTGTAGCTGGCGTTGGTTTGCTTAGCTTGCATCTTATTTTATTGTTTTCTAGTTTCTCAATAAGCAATAGGCTATACACCGTGGGTTCTGCTCGAGTATAAGTTTGCTTATTAATCAAATTTTGGTTTATTTTATACACGAAATATATGACGAATATTAATAGCAGACTTGTGTGGTGTAGAATAAAGCAATGCTTGCGGTTTTTTTTGGTTATTATAATAATTATGTTTCTATATGCTATATTAAAAATATGCTCATTAAATTAATAGTGAGTAGGTATATTTTTTCTATCTTAAAGTTTTATGTTTCCGATGTGGGTCGCGATCCCAATCGATTTCGTACTAATTTTTGAGGCCTCAGTCTTCGCTGATTTCCTCTATTTCTTCCTCATTTTCATCAACATTACTCTCTGTTTCCGATTCTTCTAATAACTCTGTTTCTAAAATTGGGGAATCCCCTGTCCAAGGGTCGTAGTAGGGCAGTATCCTACTTACATGGACCGTGTCCTTCTTTTTTCCACCAATTTTCTCAACTTCCTAGTCGACCTCTCCTAATTTTCTTAACACTTTGTATGGTCCGAACCATTTCAATAGCAGTTTCTCGCTTCGGCCTACTTTTCTCACCGGCACGAAAATTTTCACTTTATCTCCAATATCAAACTTCAACTCTCTATATATGTTTGCTGTCGAATCGTACTTTATCCTTTATTTGCCTTTTGCAAATATTCTCCGCCGCTATAGCCCTTATAGCTAGCGCTTTTTCCCTCAAGTGTAGCGTATCCGCCTCTGAGTCATCTATCAATCAACATTGCTTCCGACGGAATGGTCGGTTCCTTGGCGAAAGTCACCATAAACGGCTAAGCTTTGTGCTATCTTGAATCACTCTCACTGCTCCTTTTTCTCCTCTACATCTAGTACTTCTTCCTAATTGTGTGATCGATACATAATAGTCTTCTGTCGTTTCTGTTTTTTGGTAACATAACTCTGACGTTGACTACTTTTTGTTGACCCATTTTTTTTACATTTTACATTTTCTGATAATCCTTCGTCTTTTTCGTTAACTTCTTCATCTTCCGAGTCTCTGTCTACCATATTGTTTTTAACTGCCACTTTTGATTCTCCCTTGTGTATTTTGCTCGACGTCAATTTGGACTTCAAGTAGCAATTTTGTCTACTCATCAAATTTTGTTCATCGATTCCGCTCACAAATTACGTTGATTTTGAATTTCAGAGTTTTTATTTAAATTATTATTGACGAAATTATTTTTAAGTATCTGGTGTATCCCTTTTATGTTTGGATTGGTTAAGGAAAATGTTATAGGGTATTTTCCTTCCGTCGTTCAGAGTGGTCCTGACTGTTTCCCTTGGCTAGGTCGTGAAGGTATTCCAGGAAAGCGGCACCTCCACCAAATGTCACGAAACGTCTCTGGTTCGCTGTGTAGCTCGACTATTCACCCTGAAAAGCAGAACGGGAAGGGAGGAGTAATCAGGGAAACACCAGAACAGTTTTTTAAATAGCTAATATATATTGTTACAGGACGGAGATTACGGAAACTTGAATATTTAGTTATTACCACATCATCGTCATCTGGGACCAGATAACGTCCCTTCGGGTGGTGAGGCTAAACAAAGGGCGGACAGTCAAACGTCGGGTATACCCCTGCAAGGCTAAATAACCAAACCAGCCCTACAGGAAAATCTAGAAAGCCTTTTCACTGTAGGTCAAAGCCTGGGTCGTCAGGGAGTATCTGCCCTGATAGAGATACGATAGCGTATTAACTTTATCAGTCCAGATAGTTCCCCAACTTTGAGTCGTCTCTCAACACCTACTGATTGCAGCGAAGCGCTGAGACACGACTGATTTGCCATAGTGTGGCCCAGGCTTTTATATCCAATATTTGCTGACTATGATTAGGATAATTTGTGTTTTCTTGCTTAGTTGCAGTTATTTGTTATAACCCGTGGTTCAGTGTTTTGAATTTGGTTATAGCCCGTGGTCCCATGTAGGGTTGACAATACCAATACTCATAAACCTTTGGATTTAATATCCACAACTTTTTATTCTGATTATGTGGACTCTCACAAGAATAAAGTAGACGTTTTATATGGAAAAATCCTAGGAAACACGGAACAAGAAAAAGAACGCGTTATAACGAAAATTAACACAAAAGGTGACGAATCGGTATACAAAAAGCAATCGTCGCGTTCGCGTTCTCCCAAAAGTAAACAAAAATGTTATGGACCTTCAAAAATAATAGAAATCTTAGAACATAACCGTGTGAAAGTACAACACATAAGAAACCCACGAAAAGTAGAAACAATCCACATTAAGGAACTGAAACCACCAGCTCTTGTTACAGATATACACCTGTACAACAGGATACTTCTAGGAAACTCCTAGATGCAAAGACCTAAACCAAAACCCAGTAATCCTTCTATATAAATTAGGTAATGCCCAAAAAGTATCTAATCATTGGACATTCGTTCAAATATTTAACATTGCAAACTTAATTAAAGAATTTGATATTCTATCAAATCAATATTAATCACTCGAAAAAACACTAAATAACAACACAGGATTTCAGGCAGAATATTTCAATTCACAAATACCTACTTATTAATAACCTGGAATCGAAAATCACTAATCAAATAAATCAATTATTACCAATTAATTCTCGAGAAAAAAACGAGGTTTAATTGATGGATTAGGTAGCATAGTTGAAAGTTTAACTGGAAACTTAGACCAACAAGACGCTCTAAGATATGATGCTGAAATTGATATCCTTGAAAAGAATCAAAATAATGAAAAATAAGCCATAGACAAATAATTGACACTTCTTCAGGATTGACAATTTCCAAGAAATTAAACGAAATATATCTCATATTCAAGAAACCTTGAAAGATCTAATTAACAATGTTATCGAAACTATTAATTGCTCACAAATAGGCTCGTTCAATAAAAACATTTTAACGCGTTTTTTCACATTTTATGGAGTATTACTCATATATAGCACATAAAAAAAAATTCAGCTCAATTGGATACATATTAGAAAAGTTACGCGTTTTTTAATATTAAAACAGTTATGCCTCGGAAATTCATTGCTGTGACGTCATAGCATCTCTCGAGTCGAGACAGGCTAAAGGCCGTCATACACGGTTTTGCATAACGCAATGTCAACTGATTTTCTATTGACAGTTTGGCACTCAGTTTACGAAAATATACAATATTTTAAATTTTTCTTTTTGCATGCTCCTTCCATAATTATTGTGCTAATAAAATATTGAAACTCAGGGAATTATTCAAATATACGTAATGTGATTTGGAAGAAAAACATCAAACCTCTACCAGATACATAAAATGCCAAACAAACTTGTCTAAACGATGCTAAACCAAAATTTGTCAAAACAATGCCCGTATTGTCGAAGTGACTGGCGTACCAGCACCGCGACGACCGATGTGAGAGATGCAGTGACGTCACCGCGTGTTTCAAATTTGGAGTACTTTGATGATTTATTTAAATATGAACAAGGGCTCAGAAAATTATGAAATTTTGCATAACTGCTAAACTCAACACGCTCTTTTTGAATATGCAATAAAAAAATATGCTGTACGAGCCTATTGAGATGGCAACGGCTCGTGAATATTTTAAAATTGGATTGTTTCTAACGCAAATTTCTATGATGTATCAAAATATCTATGATATATTAGAACAAATCGAAGTTGCAATATCATTTGCTAAACTTAATAATTTCCACAATTCCATCATAGAACCTCCTGAACTTTCAAATGAGTTATTGTTAATAAATAACCAACTTTTATCAGAAAAGTTATAGTTTGAAGCCATGTCTGAAAATATCTTGAATTTTGAGTCTATATTGGATATAAAAAGCTAGTCAAAAGATAGTGTAATAATATTTATTATTGAAGTCCTCTTGTAGAAAAAGAAAACTACAATTTTGTTCAATTGCTTGCTTTACCAACTTCTACCAATAAATATTTTAAAATGTAGATTCCTAATTTCCAATATGTCATAATTAATTAACATAATTTTGGTTATTCGAATACAGCCAGTAGAAAAATACTCGATAATGAATATTTGTGTAAACATATACACACAGAAATATTGTATAAAAATTTGCCATGTGAATTGCAATTGTTAACTTAATGCGCATAACGGATATGCGCACTCGCAAGGAAATGTCCTATCACGCTCGAGAAGCGGCAAGTGCGCAACATAATATCACGAATTGTAATCCGATTCTTGTGAAAATCGAGAGTGTTCAAGTGCAAAATATCGATATAGGAAAGTGTATAGTTTGTTGTTTCAAAACTGGGGGCAAACCTAACAATACATTAATACACAAAAGGGTGGCTGAGGTACTCCAGTAACCAAAATCGAGCAAATGGAGCTTCGTTTTTAGGGTGTCCGACTAACTCACACAGCGGAGAGTGGAGTGGGTAGACATCAAAAAGGCGCCACCTGTTTTACTACCCTGCAGTCAAACGAAGCTACTGATTATAAACTAAAAACAGGAAACACTCAATCCTAATTTGAAGTACTGCAAAAACCTAAATATGCATAAAATAAAATGAAATGAAAGCGCTTAAAAATTCACTCCGGTGCATGATTTTTATTTGCCCAAAATAGTTATTTATAATGTTTATTGTAAATGGCAGCAAACAGCTGATAAGCACCAAAATTGAATTGTTTATTTAATAGCTTTTAATAGTTATTTATGTATCAAGGGTACTAAGTAGATAATTATGCCCTGAGGGCGACGGTCTTACAAAGCCGAGGGCCTCTGGCCCGAGGGTTCGTAAGTCGCCCGAGGGTATATATCTATTAGTACCCGTGGTGCATACAAACTTTTATGTCATACCAGTTGGTTGTGAATAATAAATACCTGGGAAAAAAGTGTCACTTCGCAAATTGTCATCAGTATGCAAACATCATCATTTTTTGACAAAAATAATATGTTTATAAGCGTAAATTTATATTTTGTTAATAAAGAATAAGTTAATTGAAAACTGTTTTTTGCGTCTTTATGCCCGCGCGGGCCATAATATGTAGATGGTATCTAAGGTATAAAAACACAATAATGTATTGGTATGACATAAAAATAATAAAGAATCTATCAGTAAACTTAAATTAGGTACTGTGATAAAATGGGCTATAATTACAATGCATAACCAATATAAAAACTAAAATTAGTAAGTACCTACTAATGTCTGCCCAGCGAGTCTGTGTCTACGGGGCAACGGTAAGGGGAATGCAGTTGTAAAAAAAAATGGCTGATTTCATTCATAAAATACCCAGCTGCGTGCGGAACTTTTTGGAAGTGTTATCTTATTGCAACTCGTACATGAAAATCGATAATGACCAAACCCCCGCCACTGGATATTTCAAATAAATCGACATTTCAAGATGGGAGGATACAATGACGGGAGCCCTGGCCAATAGCGAGACGTAAGGTGACGTTAGCACATTGACAACCGCATGGTTCCCAGTGGCAACGGCAATCCTGCCAAAAACTCCACCAATCAGGTTCATCCAGGCCGGATGCTTGCCAAATTGACAAAAGCTGATGGTATCTTTAGAAAATGTCTATTTTTTCAATAGACCAAATTGAAGAAATCAGAAATTAAAATAGGAATAGATCGAACAACAACGTTAAAATATTTAGCGTTTTATTATTGTTATCTATATTTTGTTATCAAAAAATGGATTTTCAAATGAACTATACTTAATGCCTGGTATTTTCGCTTTTTTATAATTAAACGTGACAACATCGCACACTTACGTCCGAATTCCTTCCATAGACTCAGAACCGCTGGGCATACAATACTTAGTTACAGTAGTTAGGTGAATTAAATGTGTAATCTAAAATATTCCAACCAAAAGGGTGGTATTTGAAGTGTCCAAACCTTACTTTACATTCTGGTTCATTATGGTGATCAAAGGTTATAATTAATTTCCTAAATACATTCATTAAGTTCAAATAAATGAAGGGTGATAATTAGGTACGGTTCGCACCCCTTGAATCAATACCAAAATACTAAAAATACCGTCGTAAATGGATCCATTTTAACC